CTCTCTCCCTCCCTCTCTCTCTCTCTCCCTCTCTCTCTCTCCCTCTCCCTCTCCCCCTCTCTCCCTCTCTCTCCCTCTCTCTCCCTCCCTCTCTCTCTCTCCCTCTCTCTCTCTCTCTCCCTCTCTCTCACGTGCGTACACACACACACGCAAACATACATGCACACACATACGCACAGGCACACGCAGGCATACACATACACACTTCATACATTTGTATACACCATCATACATACTTGCACACACATGCACACATTTACGTGTGTTTGTGCGCGTGTGCGTGTGTGCACGCATGTGCGCGCACACACACTCTGCATCATTTCTCTGCCTGTTCTTTACTTTCTTTCACAGGCTGAGGAAGCAGACATCTCAGTCAGCCAGTTTGGGATAAAACTCCAGTCAGGAAGGGGGACCACACATTAGAGGATCCAGTCTTCTACTCCCCCATCTGACCCTGCCCCCTATGTCTTCCAGAGCCTCCTGTGCCCCCAATCCTGCCCCCATTTGAAAGAAAGACCCTTCCAAATCTTTGATCACCAGACATTTGGGAATTGTAGGCCCAGAGAGGTCAAGCTGGTCCAACCCTCTCATTCTAAAGGTAAAGAAAGTGAGGCCCAGGGACATCCAGTGACCACCCAAAGACACACAGGCACTAAGTGCCCAAAGTGCCCAAAGTGGGAAGCAAGGTGCACATTTCCCCCCTTACAGAGACTGGGGCATCTCTTTTCAAGCCCTAGGATATTTACGCTGCTTTGCTCTGTCTGTGCCCTCCTCAGAGGGCACACCCCCAGCACTACAACCTCCCCCCAATAAGACTTTCCTCCCGGGCAGCTTTGTCCATGTTCTCCCATAGGTCCACCACAGGAGACTCATCCTACCCAGGCTGCATCAGCCTGCCCATCTGTTAGCCTCACTCTTCTTCCAATCACTTGTTTTTTCAGTGATACCCCTCACTTCCTGAGAAGGCATAAGCACCAGAAATGGACTATGGCCAACCTGATGGCCCCCACCATCTCTCCATGGCCCTCAAAGTCACTTGATCGTCAGGGACAACGGTATCACCACAGAAAATTGGGGTCAAAGAGATGGGTTTGGGGCTGAGAAGCAGCACATCCTTCCCATGCTTAGATCTGGGTCCAGCTCATTGCCTCTCTGCAGGGACTGTCCCAGATGGATGGACTGGTAAATTAACTCAGCAGACTAACCCTCCAATTGGGTCAGGCTGGATAAGAGGTCGGCCTCATCCATTTAGCAATTTCCACGTAGATGACTAGGCCTTGTTCCTTAGAGTGATTCTAGGTCACTAAGGAAGCCCAGCAATGTTCTGGGACCTGGGAACCTCCCCCATCCTCAGGACATCCATCCCCTCCTAGATGGCAGCTGGGACAAGCAGAGGTCTCCCAAGCTGCACTTTGCTTGATGTTAATAAGCATAGGTTCTATTATTAGAGACCAAGGGGGGGATACACTTTCTGGAAGCTTCCTGAAGAAGATTCCTCAAGAATCAGCATGAAAATAGATCATTAGGGGAATCAGTTGTGCTCCCCAGGACAGGCTCCTTCTTTGGGAGCCGAAACGCTACTCAGACGGCTTTGGGCCAGCAGGAGACGCTTCGTGGCAATGGGAACACATGGTGCTCAGCTTTGGGGGCCAGGGGACCTTGGAGATGGGACCCCCAGCTCCCTCCCTTGTGCCCTTTCCTAGCCCCCAGAATGGCTGAGTCTCTCACTTACCCTCGGAGATGTTGTCCCAGTAGGGGCTGAGGAAGTCAAAGTGGCCCTGCTGAATGATAGCAAACAGCTCCTCCTGGTCTCTGTCTTGGCTGCGGAAGGGAGGGAAGCCACACAGAAGGATGTAGAGAATCACGCCGGCTGCCCACATGTCCACCTCCAGCCCGTACCCTGGGGAAGAAAGGCCCACAAGGCTGAGATGGCTGTACCGAAGACCAGCATTCATCTTCACTCTGCCACCCCATTTCTCCAGCACCTGCTCTGGCCAGCTGCCTCACTGCCAGCCTCTCCATTCACCCCTCAGCCTCCTGCACTTCTGAAGCTTCTTCTCCAAGGTCACCCCTGGGGAGGTCAAGTTCAAGGCGTTTTCTTCAGCCTCCATCCTCCCTGTCCTCCGCAGGATTGCACAGACAGTGAGGCTTGTTTGATCCTAGAAACACTCTCATCCCCAGGTCACGAGGATGCCACCATTTTCCTCTCTGGCCTCTCCTCTTCCCCCTTAGCTAGTTCCATAGCCTCCTCTGACCTCCTAAAGCCAGCAGGGCTTCATCAAAGACAAGTCAGGCCAGATGAGTCAGGTCAAACAGGACACCTCCTCCCCCTAGAGACAAAGGTGTCAGATACAGTCCATCTAAATGGATCAGACAAAGTTTCTCATCCCTGGACTCTTTCATGAGCCCAATGGAGAGAGGGGATGGATGAGAGTAAAGCTCAGCAAATTCAAGAGTGGATGAAGCAACCAACAGTATTTATTATGCACCTACCATGTGGCAGGAGGGTAGCCAGGTGGCACAGTGGATAAAGTGCCAGACCAGGAGTCAGGAAGGCCTGAGTTCAAATCCAGCCTCAGACACTTACTAGCTATGTGACCCTAGGCAAGTCATTTAATCCTGTTTGCCTCAGTTTTCTCATCTGTAAAATGAGCCAGAGAAGGAATGGCACACCACTCCAACATCTCCGCCAAGAAAACCCTAAATAGCTATGGTCATGAAGAATGAGTCACAACTGAAAAATAACTAACAATAATAAAAGTGCCAGGAGTTGTGCAAGAGAGTAGGGATATAAATAAAGACAAAAGGGAAGCAGTGTAGTCCTGCCCTCAAGGGGCTTACTCTCTAGCCAGAGGAAACAACTCAGACATATACAGAAATATGCAGAATATATACAATAGATACTGTAGCAATAGAATTTTAACAAAAGGGTAAACTGAGGCAGATCTTTGAGAAAGATAATGTTTATTAGCAGGGGCATGCTACCTGTCAATAAATGGGTTCATGGCTTGCCTCCATGAATGCCAAAGACCTGAACAAAAGGCCAGTTCCCCTTTTATAGGTTTTGGGGAGCACAGAACAAAGTGGAGGTGACATCAAGGAACTGAAGACATGACTAGCTACAGAGCTGAGGCACAGGGAACTATGAGATTGGTTGGAAGTTTGGTAATGGGGGGCTCTCCACAGCCCCCCTTTCTTCTTCCGTGAGGCTAAGAAGGGCTCAGTGTTTGAGTTTAGCTGAGAGACAGTGGCCCAGACTTTTGGGCAGCAAACCAGACATCCTTGAAGGATGGGCTGGTGGGGTAAAGATCTCAGGCCCAACTCCCTTTCTTTCCCCAAGATTAGCAAAACTTCTGAAGACAAGAATAGACCAGCGATTAGCAGGAGAGCTGGATTTCTGGAATTAACCCCTTCTGGGCCAGCTGGATTCTGTAAGAAGTTCAGACACAAAGAGTCAGGCAGTTAGAGGACAAAATCAATTACTTATCAACAGGATTAGTGAACAAATGGTACAGATTCAGTCTCAACTTTCTCCATTCCACCCTTTGATTAGTGAGATATAACAGATATCATAGGTATCTCTCATGGATCACTTATATATAATCTACTCTTTTGAGATCCCTAACACAATAACACAATTGTTATCCACAGCAGGGTGTGGGAGTTCAGTGACAAGCCCAAAGCCTTGAAGGAAATGAGGGATTCCTGGCCTGCTGCTAGGAAGGCAGCATGATATGGCTGAGAAGAGGGCATTCGAGTCCAGGGTTTGAATCCTGGTTCTGCCCTTCACCTCCTGGGCGACCTTAGACAAGTCACTTCCCTTCTCTGGAGGAAGTCCCCTCATGTGTAAAATGAGGGGGATTTGATGAGATCACTTCTGAGCTCCTTTCAGATCCGTGTCTGGGATCCTGGAATCCTCTGGTTCTGAGAGGAGGAAATGAGGAGGGAGCATGGAGGACCCAGGCAGGGGGCCAAGATGGGACCTAGGACAGGAAGCATTCCCATGTGGCTGGACGGTAGTAGGTGTGAAGAGGGATGAGTCAGAGAGGCAGCGAGTGGATAGAGCCAGGCAGAGAGTGGTCAGACCTGCGCCTGGCGGACTGGACCCAAAGAATGGATCGATGTGGACTTGAGGGAGGGCTCTAGAGTAGTGTCCTCAGGCTCTGGGCTATTTAGCCCATTACTGGTGCCCCAGTCAGATGTCCAAATGAGAAGCTCAGCACATCTGCAGACAGAGCACAGGTGTGGGCATGGACTGTTTGGGAGGAGGCAGTTGGGAAGCTGTGAGAATCTTCCAGTACCATCAACATGTCCCCTGTTGTCGCCATTCTTACCATCGAGGCATCAGGACTCAGAAACACCTTGACGGGTGAGATCCCGAGTCCTCTCCAGGTCCCTGGTGCCCTCGCTGGTCCACTTTCCCAATTGGGGAACCCGGAGCCAATCGCTGACCCTGGCTTTCTTTCAGCTTCCTCAGTCTGTCTGTCACTGACTCCATCCAACCCACAGGCATTTGTTAAAGCCTCGCTCCCTGCTCACCCCTGCCTTCCCTGGTGGTGGGAGCCATCCCTCCCCTTCTGGCCTGGACTGTGGTCACAAATTTCCTAATCCCTCCTGCCTGCCCCTCGCAGCCAATCTTCCCGCTCAAGGCCCTACCCTGGTCCCCTCCAGCCCACCACAAGTTCAAATTTCTCCCACCAGGCCTTCAAGGCTCTGCATGAATGAAGCAGCCTCATTCCCTACTACTCAAAACACACTCTGCCAGATCCAGCCTGGTCTGCAGTGTCCCTGGACACAGCTGTGCTTATTCTGGTCTCTGGCCCAGCCTTCCCTGCCTCCTCAGCCTCCACAGATCCTACTCACCATACTTGGAAAAGGGAAATAGAGCAGCTCATCCTGATCCCTGAACTAACGAAGGGGGTGGCGAGGCCGGGACAAGGACCTTTCTGCAGGAAAGTCTCCTTCTCCCGTTTAGAGCTGGGCGTGGGTAGTTATCCAGATAAATGGCTCAGCATCTTCAGACACGGCCTCTGGACCCTGGCTCCCCAAACGTCCTCCCCCACCCTGCTCATCCCAGCTCCTACTTGTCCTCAAGCATGTGGCAAGTCCAAGAGCTCGTCCCACCCCCTGCGCCAGCCCAGTCTCCCCATGGCAGGCCTCCTCCAGAGGAGGAGCCGCAGGAGGCAGCCAGGACCCACTGTGGATGGGAAGGGCAGGAAGCCTAAAACCACGGCTCAGGACACGGGCACACTGCCGGAGAGCCTTCCCACAGAGATCTGCTAGTTACCTTTCTCTGAGAGAATTTCTGGGGCCACGTAGGTGGGCGTCCCACACACGGTAAATATGGGCTTGACCACGTGCTTGGCGAGGCCAAAATCAGCCAGCTTCAAGGTGGTGGATTTGTCTGCATTTCGCTGGACCTGTGGCAAAACAAAGTCCCAGGTTCAACTCTCTACTTAATTCTATACCTACTATGTGCAAAACACCAGCCCTCCCACCCTGGACAAGATAGCCTGGAAAGAAGAAAAGAGATTTGTCCAAGATTCTCCCAGGGAACAAACGAATACCCCATCCAGGATTCAAACCAAGGTCTTTGATGCCTCCCTTGCTCCAGACAAGCGAGAACATTTTCTATTTGTGCCCTTTTCTTCACCTAGAACACTCCACCCCTCTATGTCTGCTGGTCTAAATCCTGGTCATCCCTTTGTCCCAGCCCAGTAACCTCTTTGCCAAAGCCTTCTCTGACCCTGCCCACCACATGGGGGTCTAATCCCCATGGGACTCTCTGACCCTCTTAGGCCTTTAGACTTCTAGGGTTGAAGAAGACCTCAAGCCATCCAGGTCATCCCTTCTCTCCTACAGGGAGAATGCCTTCTAGAACATTCCTGACCAACGGTTAGCTGGCCTCTGCTTCACTGAACGCCTCCAGTGATGAGGAACTCACTACTCAGTGAGGCAGCCCCTTCCCTTCTGGGATCACTCTAATCATTAAGACTTTCCTTATGCTGCCTCTCCTAGCTTCCACTCACCATTGCTAGTTCTATCACTGTAATCAAGGAAAAGAAGTCTTCTACCCAACAGCCGGCAACTTTGGTCATCCCTGCCCCCTACGCACGCACGTGCGCACGCACACGCACGTACATGTACACGTGTGGACACACCGCCCTAAGCCAGTGGTTCCCAGTCTGAGGGCCAAGGAGTCTTTAGGTCAATCTATGCCCCCAGAACACTTACACGCATCTTGATTTTCAGTACCAGGAGAGGCTGCTGGGGCTAATGACATACCCATTCACTTGTGAAGTCCAAAATCTTCTAGGGTTGGGGGCAGCTAGGTGGCGCAGTGGAGTCAGGAGGCCTTGAGTTCAAATTTGACCTCAGACCAGACACTTGATACTTACTAGCTGTGTGACCCCGGGCAATTCACTTAACTCCAATTGCCAAAAAAACAAAAACAAAAAAATTAAAAAAAAAAATCCTCTAGGGTCATCCTGCATTTTCTCAATCAACACTGGCTAAGTGGATGACCATCAGAGGAAGGGATGGGTCTAGGTAACTTCTTGACATTAAGAATAGCCTGGGATCTGTGAACCTGGGCCAGATTTCCCCTGGACCTGTGGGCACTTTTCTCTCTGCATGCCTGGTAGAGTGAGTGCCTCTCCAACTAATAGAGGATTGTTGAATGGGATTCAATTTGGATGGAATGAAATTATTCTAATAAGATACACCCTCCTAATTAGATAGGAATTATTCTAATAAAATATAAGGGTGGGAACTGTGAATTGTTTTCATCTCCTCAGGCCTTAGGTACATAGTAGGCACTGGCCACTTAGACATTGCAACCCTAACTTCTGGTCACAAGATGGCAGCAAGTGCCTGCGTTCCCATCTCAACCAGCCCAGAAGATGTGACCTGCTCAGTTCAGTTCAGCTCACTCCGGCTCAGTCCGGCTCAGTCCAGACTGGGAGGCTTGTCCACAATATTCATTTCCATCTTCCCCACAACCCATTCAGTCCTGATCCATCCACTCCAGCCACTAGGGCCCTCCCTCCTACAGCCATTTTCAGCTGGCCAAGCCACCAGTGCCCCGCCCCCAAACCATTGTTGACCTCACCCAGACTTCCCCTCTCTGTTAGTGAGAATAGAAAGTGGCCCTACCCAATGTCTTGTATCTTGTGGGGTCTTATTTTCAGATGCATCTGAGATATTGACTCATTAAAGGGTTAATGACTAAAACCACTGTTTACTAACAAGAAATCAGTGACCAAAATGGTGGGCTCCTCAGCTACCCCATTGTCAGAGTGTCAAGGGGAGAACCTCTGGGGTCTGGGAAATCTCCTCTCAAATAACTCCATGGAAACGTTTGGCTTTTCCAAGGCCAGCCCAGATCCCAGAGTTCAGTTGGTTTTTGAACACCTCCCCCCCATTCAATAGCCATGTTTTAAGTGTTTACTACGTATATCTTGTGAAGCATTATGATGTCACGGATAGATGATGGGCCTTGGAGTCAAGCAGACAAGGCCAGGTAACTGAGCCTTGTAACTATCAAAGCATGACACACTTCTACCAAAATAATGTTGGGAATGCTTTAGCATTCAGGTCAGGAGGAACTGAGGTTGACCAGAGAAGTGGGGAAGAGAGAGCGCAAGAAGGAGGAAGTATTTGTGTGTGTGTGTGTGTGTGTGTGTGTATGGGAGAGACAGACAGACAGACAGACAGAGACAGAAACAGAAACAGGGACAGAGAAACAGGCAGAGAGAAGAGAGACCAAGAGCTGGGTTATAAGACAAAGGGACCCAGGGCTTGGGGTAGATGGGGCCATGACAACTGAAACCAGAGAGAAGGCAGAGATGCTCAGATACTCTTTGCTTCCACTGTGCCAAGGAGAACAAATCTGGGAAAGGGCAGAACAACCTGGGCTAAGATAAGCAAGGAGACAGTAAGAGCACCTGATCCCTGAATAAAATCAAGCCAAACGTTCAAAAAACCAGCTTCATGCTAAAAAGCAGCTGTTCTGGAAAAGATCTAGGGGTCTGAATGGCCCACCAGCTCTGTACAAGTCAGCAGTGGGACGTGAGCACCAAAGAAGCTGATGTCCTCTGAGGCTTCATTAATGCAGAAGGGCAGGCTCCCAGGAATAGAAAGACAGCGGTCCCACTGTGCGCTGCCCTGTCAGATCTCATCTGAGTACTAGGGTCGAGTCTGGGCACTGTGGTTTAAAAAGGACATTGAGGAGCTGAAGAGTGCCCAGGTTCACTGACGATCAGCTAAAGGAATTGAGGGGTATTTAGGCTGGAGAAGAGAAGGCTCAGGGAGGGCCCAAGATCTGTCTTTGGGCTGGGAAGGACTGTCATGCGGAGGGATTGGCCTGTTCTATTTGACCCCAGAGGGCAGAGCTGGGGAAAACTGCCAAAAGGCAGATTGAGGCTTGAGATCAGGAAAGCCTCCCCAGCCACAGACCTGTCCCGAAGTGGTGAGTCCCTCCCCAACCCCCGGGTCTTCAAGCAGAGCCCAGCTGACCACTTGCTGGAGATGTCAGAATGAGAGCTCCTTCCTCGTGTGGGCTGGGGGTCCCCTCCAGCTCGCAAATATCGTGACCCGTGACTGATGAAAACAAACACCTTCATGAAGGTGGGAAGACTCAGGAGCGCCAGCTCTGCCCCTTTTTCAGAAACTCAAGGATGTCAGTGCCCTCCACACCTAAATCCACAAATGTGAGGGGGAAATGGGAATGGCCTAGCAAGAGGAGAGCCCGATGCTGCAGCCAGCCAACAAGCACTTATTAAGCACCTATTGTATGCCGGGCACAGTGCTAAGTGCCACTGCTTATCACCATCGTGCAGTTGTTGTCTAACCAGAGCCCACGATCTCCAACCCACCTCCCCCAGCTCTATTCGCCATAGAATGGGCCCCACAGAAGATTCCAGACATTCTTTCGATGAACACCCTTTCGGTTTGTTTGCCCAGAAGGTCAGCACAGGTGCAGTCCACAAGCACTCCTACTCATTGCTCATGATGGCATGAGCCATCAGAGACGCATGTGAAGAAAGAATAACCGTACAGGGAGTCGGGTCGTTCATCCAGAAGCAGCTCCTTCCCTCTGGTGCCCGTAGGTCTTCAACTGCCCAAGGAGCCCCAGTGGATGCCGCTCCAAGTCTCCTCCTGCTCTGAGTGAGTAGTCCTGATGGTCTCCAAGGCTGGGCACGGCCATTAGCACAAGATGGAGCCTCCACTGTCCAGGAGAGGAGGCTGAATCCCAAGAGCTGCTCGGGGACCTCCAGGAAGGAATGCTAGGCTTGTGCCCAGAAGGTCAGCACACTCCCATCTCTGGACTGGCATCCAGGCCCACCTGCCCAGAGCACTCCAGGCTCACAGACGGAGTCTCTCCTGCTCGTCAGTCAACTCTAAATAGACCCTTGAATGAACACTGTTCCACCGAGCTCTAAATCTGAGCAAGCCTTGTGGAAGGAGGGGCAGCTTCATGCATTCGGCACAGAAAGACCGAGAGACAGGAAGGTGGCCAAGAGCCATGGGGATGAGGCTAACCAGGTGCCAGAGGCCAGCTGACACCCTGCTGCTCGCTGTCAGGGTTACTGGCGGGTGGATTCTATGACTCTGAGAAGCAGCGCGATCAGGGATAAAGGGCTGGTCTCAGAGCCAGCAGGAGCCGGGTTCAAGTCGTGCCTGTGACGCACACTAGATGGGTGAACCTGGACAAGTCACCTAATTCCAGACCAGGGCCGAGAGAAGACAGATAGCTGCCCCGCCCAGCACCTTCTCCAGACCCACTGGGGATAAGTCAGATCTTCACAGACAGAGGAAAGAATTTTCAAATCATTTCAACTACTCACCCACCTCCACATGCCCGGAGGAGGTAAAGAGTTGGTGGGCCTCTGGGTGGTCACGCCACGGAAGCCAAAAGCCCAGCTCTACTACGTCCAAGGCACGGTCTCTGACTGTAAAGATCAAAGGAATGCAAATCTGACTTGACCCCAGAGGTTCTGGTCAGTTCCATGACAGCAGGCTTGTCCGGGTTCTGGATGATGGATGAAGCTTTCCCACTCTCCCAGCCACCGGTCGTGGTCCGAAGCAGGACTGTGTGCTTGCTCCCATGCTTCTTAGCACGGTGTTTTTTCAGCAGTGTTGTCAGATGCCTTCAATGAGGGCAAACATGGCATCAAGGTCAGCTACTGCACTGATGGTAAATTATTTAACTTGAAAAGGCCACAAGCCAAGACCAAAGTGGAGGGAGAATCGGTGCATGGTTTTTTGTTCATGCATGATTGTTCATGCAATGCAGCCTCTGATGCTGATCAATTCTCTGCTGCTTGTACTAATTTTGACCTAACAAATAATACCAACAAAAGAGATTCTTCATCAGCCAGCACCGTGCCATCCATACATGGAACCATCAGTTACAGCAAATGGAGAAATTTTGAATGCTGCGGATGAATTCACTTACCTTGGCAGTATACTTTCCAGGGATGTACACCTGGATAATGAGGTTGATGCATACATCATCAGAGCTAGCTTGGTGTTTGGGAGGCTTCAAAGGAAAGTGTGGGACAGAAGAGGTGTTAGGCTGCCTACCAAACTGAAGGTCTACAGAGCCGTTGTGCTGACCTCATTGTTGGATGCCTGTGAAACCTGGACCGTCTACCAGCGCTATGCCAGAAAATCGAATCATTTCCATTTGAATTGTCTTAGGAAGATTCTGATCACCTGGCAGGAGAAAGTAGCAGACACTGAGGTCCTCTCTCTAGCTGAACTGCCGAGCATTCCAACTCTACTGCAGACAGTGCAACTCTGAAGGACTGACCATGTTGTTCAAATGCCAAAGTTATATTTGCCTAAAAGACTAGAGAACTCACCAAGGCAGACGCTCACATGCTAGTCAGAAAAAGTGATACAAGGACACTCTTTAAGACCTCTCTGAAGAACTTGGGAATTGATTGTGTGATGCGGAAGGCGCTGGCGCAGGACTGCCCAGGATGGTGTGCCCACATCAGAGAAGGCGCTGTGCTCTGTGAGCGAAGCGGAAGTGAAGCCGCTCAAAAGAAAACTGAGATGTGCGTATTTCGAGACATCTCCACCCTAGATGTTCCCACAGACTATGTCTCCGACCTTTGGCATTGGTCTGATCAGCCCATCTGGACACGCTATCACCTGGCCCCAACGTAGTGGCGTCATTTAGGTCCTCTTGGAGCACGCCCAACAACCACCAACCGTCTCTCCACCGTACTAGCTCACCTCCTCCCTTTGGTGAGCTGGGGACAGGGGCGGCAGAGGCTTCTGGTATTATGAAATCATGGTCTGAGAAGATGATCAACAGGAGAGACCTGGCCAGAGAAAAGGGTCAGGCTCCTGGAATTTCCAGGCAAATACTTGCCCAAAAGGTGACCAGGCGAGGGGTCTGGAGTGGATAGAAATAAGAACACATGGTTGATGGCTCCGTTTGCTTTGTTTATTTCCCCCTCTTGGCTCCAGAGAGAAGCAGAAGGGGGCAGTAGATGGACTTGGAATCGGGAATTCAGCAAAGTGAGCAGAACCAGGAGAACATTGTACACAGTAACAGCCACGTTGTGCGATGACTAATGTGGATAGACTTGGCCCTTCTCAGCAATGCAAGGATCTAAGACACCTCCAAAGGTCTCATGATGAAAAATGCTATCCACATGCAGAGAAAGAACTATGGAGTTTGAATGCAGATCAAAGCATCCTATTTGCAATTTTTTCCCTTCTGTTTTCTTTTGTTTCCTCTTTCTTGTGGTTCCTCCTATTGGTTCTAATTCTTCCTTACAACAATCACTAATGTGAAAATATGTTTAACAGGAATCTGTATGTATAGCCTATATCAAATTGCGTGCCTTCTTGGGAAGGGGGGGAAGGAAGGGGAGAAAATTTAAAACTCAAAAGCTTATGGAAGGGGTTGTTGATAAATCAAAATAAATTAACAAGCTGTTGTGAACTATGTAACAGAGGGAAAGAAATTCATGGTAAATAGGTAAGGGTCCAATGTAGAGGATGATTGACATACTTCCCTATAGATGACCTAAGGACCCAGAAATAGATGACAATCCAGAAATGCATTGGTTTGAGGGGGCTCTGCAGCACAGGCCATGACCTGGCAAGCCATCAGTGGGCCTTGGGGGTGACTGCATTGGTGGTAGGGCTTCTAGAGTTTCCAGTCCACAGTTCACAAAGGGGTTGTACAACTGGTCAGAAGGAGAAATTACAGGAGATCCTTTGCTGGCAGGACGCCGTGACATTGCCCATACACAGTTTTTGGTCTCAGTCCCAGGGTAAAAAGGAGCCCTGGCCCTTAAGGCTGCAGGGAGTGGCGACCCCGGTCACAGTTCCAGGGCAGAGAAGAGTGCTTTTGGTCATTCATTGGAAAGCAGGGGGACTGGAAAGAAAACCATTGAATTAATAAATAAAACTAGGAGCTGATTTTATGAAAAAAAATCAATAAAATAGATAAATCATTGATTAAAAAAAAGAATCAGGAACTCAAGTTTAGACGCTCCCTCGACTACTAACAAACCGAGGTATCATGAATAAGTCATTTCCCCTCTTGAGCCTAAGCTTCCTTATCTGTATGATGGGGTGCCTCGCAGGGATTCTGGAATGACCAAATAAGGTAATGAGGGTAAAGCACCATTGGAAACACCATCTCCTATTGTTACAAGGAAGGGCCCCATGGAGGGGGGGATAAATGAGACATGGTAGTGACTTCCCCCCATCCAAGGAAAATTAAAAACATAAACAAAACATTTTCCCCTCCCAAAGCCTCATCCCAGGGGCCATGTGCCCCTATAGCCTCCTGCCCAGTAGCCACACACACACCTCAGCCCCACCCCTCCCCCAGCTCTAGACTCACCAGGAGGTTTTCCGGCTTGAGGTCTCGGTGGACAATCTTCTGGTCATGCATGTGCACCAATGCCTCGCACAGGTCTGTGATCATGCATGCAGCCTCGTGCTCACTGAACTTCACGTTTTCAACAATGGCATCAAAGAGGTCCCCGCCGCGGACGTACTCCAGGATCAGGTAGATTTCCGTGGCGGTCTCATAGACCTCGTGCAGTTTCACGATGTTGGGATGAGAGAGGCTGCGGATGATGAAGATCTCACTGTCCACGATGTCCTCCTTGCCCTTCAGTTTGGACTTGTCGATGATTTTCATAGCGTAATCCTGTTGGCTGTGCAGGTGCCTGCACTCCTTGACCACTGCGAAATTCCCGTCCCCGATGACCTTGCCAACCTGGTAATGCGCTTCCACATCAGACTTGCTGATGTCGGCCAGTCTCGGCTTCTTACCCGCCGCTCGGCCCGGCTTGGGCTCCTCCACGGGCATCTTCGCCTCCTTGTCTGCCCTGCTCAGGGCCCTCTCCCCACGAGGCGTCCACCTGCCCCCTGGCAGGCAGCCCTTCTTTTCCCTCTCTTCCTTCTCCACGTCAGTGCTTCTTGGGGGCCTCTCCGCAGAGGCCTGGCACTCGCGCAGCAGCCAGCCATTCCGTCTGGCTCTGGAGATGCTCCTGGGGTCTCTCTTTGGCTCTCTGGGCCCACCCTCGGGGTTGGGCTGAGCTTCCACTGCTTCCCTCTTGACTCTGGCTGCTGCTGGTGCTGGTGCGGGAGCTGGCTCGGGATGCTCGTGGACTTCCAAGCCCCTTCTCTCTTTCTTCTCCGTGACTTTGTTGGGTCTTTCCAGCTCCAGGCTGGGTGTCCTTGGGCTGTTCCTCCAGCTCTCACCCTTCCACCGGACTTCCTCCCCAGCTGGGGAAGCCCCCCGCAGTGGTCCCCTGCAGCTCTTCATTCTCACCATCCTTTCTGGGTTATACCTGGAGCCTTTCGCCAGGTCCAGCTCGCTGCTGCCCAGAGAGAGCTCTGCCAGCTTCCGCCGCTGCTGCGTGCTCCAGAGGGCCCTCTCTTGTTTACACTTCTCACACCTGGTGATCTCCCCAGAGCTCTTCTCCACCTGACTGTCCCGGTGCTTCTCTCCATTGGAATGGACCTCCTCCTGTCCAGCCTTCCTGTCTGGCTTTCCATGCTTCTCAGGGACCCACTTCTTCTGGGTCTGAAGCCTCTCCTCAGGGCCCAGCTGGATCTGAGATTTCCCTTCAGGTTTAGTGCCCACCTTGGGGAGGGAGGCCTGGCTCCGGCTCTTGGTGACCTCTGCTTCCCCTAGGTGCTGCTCGGCCTTCAAGGCCTTGCTGTAAAGCCTACTCTTCAGCCGTGGCGATGGCGCCCAGCCATGCTGAGCTAGTGTGAGGGCTCGGGGCTTTCCAGTACTCAGTTCTTCCATGGCCGCCTGAATGCTCTTCAGCGTCAACGGCTCTCTTCCCGTAGCAATGAAGGCATCTCCTTCCCGGAAGAAGTCTGACACGCTCTTGACTTCCTTGCCTTTCAGGCTGTACAGTTTTCTCACTCGGTCATTCTTCCAGCGAGGGAAGCCCAAGGCTTCCGAGATGTCTGCCACCAGCTGCTCCAAGGTCTGCACTGATCTCCTGTTCAGCAGCAGGGTGATCTTCCTGAGGGGGTGTCCCCCTGGCTTCACCACAGTCACTACACGAGGCTTCATGGAACTGTTCTCCGCATGGACAGGATGGAAGCCACTCTGGGGGCTGAACACGGGGCACATAGACCTCTGGGCCCCCACGGCTGGTTTTCCACAGTGGCCCCCACGACCAATGGACACACATGAGCCCTGCAGCCGTCTCTCCGTCATTCTTGAGCTCAAGTACTTTAAAGAATGGTCAAGGCCCCCTCGGTGTCCTGAAACAAAGAAGAGGAAAATTGATTGTTATCCAAGGCTTATTCCAAAAAAAATTCTTGTTTTCAATGGCAAGGGGAAACCTCTTCTGTTCCTGTGCTCTGTGTGGCAGCAGCATTTTGGAAGTCTAAGACTTTAGGGGCAGCTGTGAGGGGGAAGAAGGGTTGGCATTAAAGTCAAATTCCCAGGTTCCTAAAACCCCCAACTTGTACCACCAAGGAGAAGAGTCCAGAGCCAACTCAGCCTCCTTGGCCTCTCCCAGATTGAGGTTCTTCTGGTCCTCACATAGGAGATCTAGACAGGCTTCATCTTCACACCTGTAAGAACATCACTGACTATGGGAGCCTGGTCAGCATGCCTGAAGACCCTACCCACCAATGGCCACATGTGGGCCCACTCTGGAGCTGAGTATTACCCAACCCCACAGTCAGCAGCCTGTGAGACAGAAACACTGAAAGACCCCCTCTTTTGACTCCCCATGCAGAGTTCCAAGGAGACCCCTGACCTGAGCTTCACGGACTCTTCACTGGAATGGAGCTGGACCACCAGCGTCACCACCATTGTTGTGAGTCATCATCATTGTTGTCATCATCATTAACATCTTCACCATCATCATTGCTAGCATTGATATAGCACTTTGGGGTTTGCAGAGCCCTTTATAAATACTATCTGGTGGACATGGTCTGCATCTTAAACATTCTAAAATGATTTCCAGTGGTTTTTTTTTAGTTATATAAATATAGGTATTTGGAAGGAGGAAAAACTACTACAGAAAAACTAGAATAAAAGAGATGCCCCATCAGTTGGGGAATGGCTGAACAAAGAGTGGCTGAGATGAACATAACAGGTTGAACCATCATAATCAACCAATATGAGGAATTCAGGGAAACATGGGGAGCCCATGGCTGCCAAGGCAGAGGATCAGAGACTTTGGGAAATTTTTCCGGTTGAGAAAGAATCCTCGGCTGGCCAGTTAGCCGACATTTTGAAGGGAGCTGGATGGCTGGCAGGTTCTGAAAAGAACTCAGTGTATCTTGTGGTTAAAGTGGTTTTGAAGCGAGAGACTGACTCAAGTTTGGAGAAGGCAGACACAGGAGGTAGAGAGGGGAGACCCAGGCAGAGAAGCACAAGCACCAGCAAGCTCATGGCGGGTGAGGACAGTGGTGGGAGGAGTGGCAGCAGTAATGGTCATAGCGATGATGGCGATGACTATTGTAACAATAACAGTCAAATGGCACTTCAAGGTTTGCAAAGAGCTTTCCAAATAGCAGATCATTTGATCTTCACAACCACCCTAGAGGTGGGTAGCACACACACCCTACTCCCCACTCAAACTCCAGGATCAAATGCAAATACAAAATCTCATTTGGGGTTCCTCCATACAACCTTCTGCATTACACTCCTGGTCAAAGTCTCTTAATGTCTTTTAGATTTAGAAAACCTCCCAGAGGTTTGCTTTCAGCTAGTGTATGATTCCTCTTGTCAAAAAATTAAATCCAGCAGTCTCACCCATGGTGCTATCTACCTGAAGAGGGGTAGACAGTCGTTTAAGACTTTCAGTCACTAGCTCAGCTTCTTCTCTTTCCTCAGAGCAGGGAGGTGGCTCTGGCATGATCCCCATCCTCACTGAAATGTTCTTCTGGGCTTCTTTATTACTAGATACTAACAATAAATATAAGGCCATTGGTAACGGTTTTGCCTAAATTTGCCTAAAATTTCACCATCTACTGGAAGTCTCCTCTAGCCCCCCTTCATTCTAGTGCCGCTCCTCTGTTGATTATGTCCTATTCGTCCTGTATAGAGCTTGCTTCATCTGTGTTTGTTCGCATGTTATCTCCCCCACTAGACAGTAAGCCCCTTGAGGGCACAGAGTATCTTTTCCCTCTTTTTGTATCCCCAGCGCTTAGCACAGGGCCCGGCTCATTGTAGGTACTTAATAAATATTTATTAATTGATTGACCTAAGCTTATAGGTGGTGCAGTTGAAATCAAAAGGAGGGAAACAAACTATTTTCAATGCTGCTTCATTGTGGGCACTGGGCCAATCAAGGGGAATTTCTGGAAGGCTGGCAATCTTTGAGAATGCTGCAGTGCTCATACTGCCTAGACCACTTTTGAACCCAGTGAACAGAGAAACATTTCAAGGAGATGAACCAGTAGCAGAGGGAGGAGTGAGGGACAGTGTGTTTGTCCTGTTCATAGCCTGGTATCGCACACCTGCACCTCACAGGTGTCTCCAAACTCGTGCAGAGTGGAGAGGACGGGACTGAAAGGACAGCAGGCGCAGTATCATCAGGGATGGAAGCAGTAACAGCTCCATGCAGCTCTGATGAATTCTCCTAGACACTCCGGGTCCTCGGGACCTGACAGAGAAACCTCTTCTCCTCTCGGTGGAGTGAGGACTGCATATGGAAGGCAGATACCTGGCTGCAGGGGTGGAGTTGGTGTGGGAGGGCTGTGCTTCAACCTAGTTTGGGGTGTGATTTGGTCTGATGTTGGGGGAAGGGACAGGGAAAGGGGAAGTGGCCATAGTGTCAAAACAGACGACGCAAGCTGTGGCTGTGACCCCAACACCAGCCATGCTCAGATGAGTGACAAGACACACCCAGCCAGCATGGTCGGGGGAATGGTTGACTATGAGAACTCTTAAAATTCATCTGGTCCGACACAGAGGCCCTGAAAAAGAAAGGAAGGCACTTGTTCAAGGTCATCCATCTGGAAAATGGCAGAGCCCTGGCTGGGCCCCAAGGATCCCAGACTCCAGGTCCCCGGGCCACTCCTAGAACAGCCCCATCTATTCCTGGTTAGGTAGGAGCTGCTGAGAGGACGTATCCGTGCAGATGCCGGCACCTACTCAAGGCGATGATGCAGTAACCAAGGCAGAAGACAAGACTGCCTGTGCAAGTGACTCCCAGAGACGCGACGCCCCAGAAAGCCCATTCCTGGCCATTCCAGTTCACTGTCTGCTGTCTCCTGGCTGGCAGCGAGGCTCAGGGTCTGTGCGCCCACCTGACGGTCATCAACCCTGTGTCACGTCACTGCTGCCAAGGCTTTGGGTTCACACCAGGCAGTCACGACGAGTTCTGGGCCCGGCTCAGGGAGCATGGAGCAACGAGGCTTAGCTGTTCATTTACTAGAAAGAGAGAGGACACATTCTCCATTCGCAGGGAAATAGTAAAAAGTGACTTAGACGAAGGATTTTTCAGAGTTTCCAATGAATGATGGATTCAGGAGTGAGTGCAGTGAGGCGCGGATGTTTGCATGTTTGGGACGTGGTCAATGTGGAAATCCATTTTACTCAACTGCACCTATTTGTCATGAGGGGTTTGTTTCTCTATTTTTTTCTCTTGGGGCAGAGCAGGTCAGAAGGCATGAAAATAGATTTCTTTTCACTGAAAAAAAAATTGAATTTTTTAAAATTTCACCAAAGTTTAACCTAAGAGTTACTACAACATGCCTCATTGTGTTCACAGGACTCCACAGACGTGTCAAGAGCTTTAATAAAGCAGAAGCCAGGAGAAAAAGACCAGGATACATTTCTGTAGAGTTTTAAGGTTTGCAAAGTCCTTTACAAATATGATCTTGTTCAATCCTCACGCAACCCTGTGATATAGGCGCCATTATTACCCCATTGGACAGATAAGGAAACTGAAGCTGGCATTATCGTCATCCCCATTTCATAGATGAGCAAACTGAGGCTTAGAGCAATTGCATGACTTGCCCACAGCCACACTGGCATTAAAGATCAGGGACACACTCACACCGAAACATCTTCTGACTCCAGTCGGGCACCCTCTCCATTATACCCCACTCACTCCCTGACAGAGAAGGCTCATTTCTGGGAGCGCTCTGTTGCCATACACACATCAGAGACCATCCGTGTATCTTTCTCTTCCCAGATGGAGTTTCAAGATGGCACACTCCTCTTCCCCTGCTCATGCTAGCTGTCACAGGGCCATCTGAATAACCCCTCCCCGTCAGCTCCCCCAAGCATTCACTGGCTTGAAGGAACGTTTGGGAATAAACTCTGGGGCTCTCCAAATTATCCCTGAGACCCCCGGGAGGACTTGCCATGAGCAGAGAGACCTCTGGCCAGGCTCTGGGGGAACGAGGACACCAGACTGTGAATGGTGCCCTATGATCCGTCCGGTTGTCAAGCACAGAGAACCAGAGGAAAACCAAGAGGACATGCTCGCTGGGCAAATGCATGTGTAAGGCCCAAGTTCTGAGGAAAATAGAGTGGCACAAGAGAGGGTTGGAAGGGAAGGCCTCCCGCTCCCCAGCATCTGGGCTTTGGCTCAGAGCTGGCATGATATCAGCACCCTGAAACAAGGCTAAGAAAGGCCAAACGTGGGAGAAGTCCTTACTCTTCTGCCTGCGGGCTGCTTCAGAGACAGTCATGGGGACACTGGCTGGGAGCTGGGGTCAGCGGCAGAAGACATTCTGCATCCCCTGTGGGAGCCAGACTCTGAGCAGCTATGGGAAGGAAGGAGCCCACTGGGAGCTGTCTCTGGAAAATGGTCGCTTGTTGGTGGAAACCAGTATTTCCCACGAACTCTGACAAGGCTCCATTGCTTTTCTCTGGCCCATAAACCTTATTCTCTTGGTCAACATTTACTAATCACAAGCCTGCGAGGGGAAGGGGTGACCAGTCACTGGATGATGTCATAAAGTCCCATGATTTTCTGGGCGGGAGCAACGCAGCGAAGGAAGCTCCCGGAACCTTCCTGGGATGGGCCCAGCACAAGAGAACTGGACTGGGCGTCAGGTAACCTTTGCTCCAATCTGGCTCTGCCTCTGACTGGCTCTGGGAGTCTCTCGGGGCTTCTGTTTCCTCTTCTGTAAAATGGGCCGGCCCATCTCTGACACCCCCTTTCAGCTCCCAGTATTGGGTGCTCAAATCCTCAGCACCAGGTCAGCACCTCTGACTAAAGTCAGGCTTAGTCAGACACCTCACAACCATCTTTGGGGCAGAGGCAAAAACCCAGCTGGGTGTAAGACTCTCAACAAATGCATCAGCTCCCGCAGCTCTGGACCTTTTCTGTTCAAAGGGACACGTGGGAGAGGGGCACAGAAGAGACCACACGCCCAGGATCCTCCAGTGGGGCGGCTGCTATTGCACACTGCGGGGTGTGGAGCCAGCAAAGCACCTGCTTGCTGGGCTGAAGCAGCAGGGAACCCTGAGGAGGAGATGGGAGACAGCAGTACCAGATGAGCCCAACCCCAGCTCCCCTCAGACCCCGATGCAGACAGGCCAGGGCACCGGCGCTCAGTGCCCTCGACCATTGCCCCAGGAAGCTGCCCCGGGGAGATGCAGCCACAGCCCACATAAGACAGTCAAAGGAAGTTCCTGCATCGTCAAATGATTCAGCAACAGAAATGGATAGAATTCTATCAGTGGAAATAGCAAGAAAGAAGGAGTCTGATCACATGCTTTGCTGCTGGCCCTTCTCTGTTTGACTTGCAGTCGAAACCTCCCATTAGATTGGGAGCTCCTCTAAATCGGGGACAATTCTACTTTCTGGTTACATCCCCAGCACTTAGCCCAGTGTTTTGGTCATTGTAAGGGCTTGATAAATGCCTGGTTGGTTCAGTCAGTCAATCACAAATACAGGCTACCCTCCCAAAACAAGATCTCTTTTTAAAGGAACACACCTATGTGTCCATGTGTAACGGCAGTCCCAAGCCCATTGGTGTGGGATGCTGTCCTCACTGGGGAGATGAATGCCCTGCCCTGGGTGAGGGGTGCAGAAGAGAAAACAGAGCTCTTCTATTTTCTTAAGACCTTTTTTTCCAGCTCCAGAGTCTTCCCTGAGCTCTCAAGCTCAAATCACTTTAGGGTCTGCAGTCACTCCGGGGGCTTCTGGCTTCTGCCTTCAAGTAGGAAAATTGTCGAGACTAACCCCGCCTCAGGGCCCTGAAGGAAAAGTCTCTGTGAAGAAACCAAGAGGAGAGGAGCTGGTCCTGTCCCCAGCTTGCTATTCTGGAGACTTCCAGGACCTTCCCCTTGGGGGGATCCAGGACCGAGGCAGCAGCGTCTTCACTCTGTATTGTCTGGTACAGTCCTTTTCTGCTTTGTGTTTGTCTATTGACTGCAATAAATGGGTTTCTTTGCTGTCTGCTATGTGTGCATTCATTGCAGAATACACTCCCGCTTCCCGGCTTTCCTGCCTCCTTTTCATCCATCAGGCCGTTTCCCCCTTTAGATTATAAACTCCTTGAGTTCAGAGACTGTCTTCCTCCCATTAATTGTATCCCCCACACTTAGCACAATGCCCAGCACATAGTAGGTGTTTAATAAATGATTATTGGATTGGATTGGAACTGGTATTCAGAGGGAAAGGAGTCAAGCTATGGATATAAAACTTGGGGTCCTCCTACTTTCCCCCAATAATGAAACATCAATCAGAAATTAGCTTGAATCTGAAAACCACAGCCCACACACCAATAAGATTTTAGGGAGCAGATAGATAGAATTCTAGCCCAGTGCCCCCTCCCTCTGAGGAGAGCAGGGTGGTGGCCTCTGGCCCCTGCCCTCCTGCTTCCCTTCCTGGAAGGAATGAAAGCCTCATTTAGAGAAAGGTATGGGGAGAACAGGCAAGAGCTGCTCAGTCTGCCCCCCCAGGAGCGGCACAATGACATCCCCATGCTATAAGCACAGGACAGCTCTCGCCACATGGGGGCCCTCGAGGCAGCATGGCATGATGGACAGGGAGCTGGCCTTGGACCCAAGAGGACCTGGGTTCAAATCCTGCCTCTGACACATCCTAGCTTGGGCAAGTCTCTCAACCCCTCAGTGCTCTGGCACTTGGCTCTAAGGCTCTCAATTGTAGAGAAAGCATCAGCTTCCATTGGCCTCCATTGGCTTCCATTGGCAGAGACTTTCCTCCCCCATGAGTTTCCTAAACTGGTGAAGTCACAGCCCCAGTTCCTGTCTTATACACATATATATGTGCAAATGTCTATGTATTTATACACTGTAGAAATGTCATTTATAGGTCACATGACATATATAGGTACTAGCCAGAATAATTGGGGAAGGAGAGATAGTCAAGCAAATGACCAGAGCAACAAAGGATTATTCTCATTTTACAGAGAAGGAAACAGACAGAGAGGCTGGGCAAGAGTCCCACTTAGGGAGTGTTGGAGCAGAGCCTCAAACCTCCCATCTCTGACACCAATCCTACCCTACCCACTCTCCTACCTTACACTGAACCTCCCGTGGCTGTGTGAGTACTAATCATGTAAACATAACTTTGACGTTCAATCGTAACAAGTTATGGGCAACACTGAAGGCATTTCTTTTACATCCAAAAAAGAGATGTAGGAAGACGTAACTGTCTCTGGATCTCATGGAGCTCACTGGGCAAATCAGGGGTGTTATTGTCTGCCATTATCAATTCAGCCTTGCCCCAACATTCTCACTGCTTTGGACAAAGGGGATACTGTCATCATGGTTCTAGGAATTAATGAGTGAATGAATGCATGCATGCGTGAATGAGAAGTACTTATTAAGCCCTGACTATGTGCCAAGCCCTGTGCTGAGTACTGGGAGCACAAATAAAAAAGTGAGATGGTCCCTACTCTCACAGAGTTTAGACAGCCCATGTAGCGAAGAGGTGGCCAAGGAAAGGCATCATGAGGATGAGAGAGTCAATTAACACAGTTTCCAAAGGCAGAGATAATGGTGAATGATTACAGTTCCCAGAACTGGAGATGGAAAGGAAGGAGGCAAGGAGAGGGGCAGGAGGGACAGTGGCTGGGGTGAAGTTGAGGCAGCACAGTCCCAGGGAGTGCCTCAACCATGGTCCAGCTCCTCCCAAGCATGGCCAAGCCAAGCCTTCTCTCACTGGGATCTATCTATTTGGTGGTTTATTTTTTCTTTTTCCCCATCCTTTTCTCTAGTAGAATCTTCTTATATGAGGAGGTGGGGTGGGCAGAACTCTCATAATATACTTTCTGCTTTGTCAATGATCCTTCTGTCCTGTCACAATATCCTCCAATCCATATTTCTCTCTCCTACCAGCGTTCTCTCCCTAATGTATATGTCTGACTGTGTCTTGCTTGCATTAACCACTGTTTACCAAACAGAATAAAAACTCTTTCACTTAACATTCAGGCCTCCCACAATCTGGTGTCAACCAGGCTCATTGCAGAGTATACCCCTTGACCCACTTTATCTTCCCACCAAAAGAGACCATTTCTGGTTCCAGCCCCTTTGCCCTTACACCTACTGGCCCCAATATGGACATGATCCTTTCACCTAGCTAAATAAATTATGCAACCAGAAATAATTCATAAAAATGGATTGTTTGGTTACAACAATTCATGAAGCCACCTATGAAGTCAAGGAGGGCACTAAGGTACCAATGCATGTCAGGACATGGGGCTCTGCCCCCTGTGAGCAGGAACCTCATGAAGACTCAAAGTTCACTGGGACCTAACCTTGGGCCCTTCTGCACTGGGCTCCAGGAGCCAAGTGGAAGAGGTCTCTCCACAGCACTCTGCCAGCAGCCTAGGAGGGGCCAGAGGACAAAGAGAAGGGGACTGGGGCAGAAGATGAGAAATGGGTTATGAGTCATAGCTGGAGGAGGAAAGGCCTGCCTTCCCAGTTCATCCTTGAAGCACAGTGCAGGTTGAGCCCTTCCTAACCATTACTAAAGATGTTCAGACTTTCCCCTTGACCCTGTCCATCAGGTAAGAGGGTCCCCTTAGCTTCCTGGGCTCTAAACTCTATGTGAACCATCAACCACTGAACACTGTCCTTGAAGGTAAGCCACTCATTCCCCTTCTGAGCATCTCTCACACAGTGACCAGCCCTGGGCACAAGAGCTGGGCACAAAAAAGTTGTTAAATGCACGAACAGGTCTTCAAGTTGGGACATGACGCATGAGGAAATGGCCTGAGCACCCATCTCTAACAGCCACAAATAACTAAAGGGCTGCTCCCTGCTGGCCACCCTCCCAGGCCCCCTAAATAGACTGAACTAATCAGGAGGAAACTGAGCACGACCCACTCATCTGGAGTAATGTTCGTGCCCAAGGCATCTGGGGCATAGCTGCGCCTTGAGAAGGGGCCCCTGTTGGCCGCCCTCTGTGACTGAGAAAGCTGTCTCTGAAAAAACAGGCTGCATCTTGCTGGTATTCCTACAAGCCATTCTTGTAATAGAGGCAAAGGTCTTCAAGGGACCAAGATAAGGGCATGGAGCCATAGACTCTCAGAGTGACAGAAGAACTCAGAGACCATCCAGTCCAGCAGATCCCATGGCATCCTGGTGTGTGCTTGAATACTTGGAGTGATGGGACCTTCTGAGGCAGTGTATCCAGTCTCCTAACTGCACCTCAGCAATTCCTACCTTGACAAAACGTAAGGAAGCCTTGACAAAATGACAGTAAATCGAG